TAAAGACAAAAATTAACTCAAGATAGATTAAAGATTTAAATGTAATACCTAAAACCATAAAAACCCTGGAAAAGAACCTAGGCAATACCATTCAGGACATAGGATGGGCAAAGACTTCATGACAAAAACACCAAAAGCAATGGCAACAAAAGTCAAAATTGACAAATGGGACCTAATTAAACTAAAGAGCTTCTGCACAGTGAAAGACACTGTCATCAGAGTAAAGAGGTAACCTACAGGATGGGAGAAAACTTTTGCAATCTATCTATCCTACAAAGAGCTAATATCTAAAATCCACAAGGAACTTAAACAAATTTACAAGAAAAAAACAAACAACCCCATCAAAAAGTGGGCAAAGGATATAAACAGACACTTTTCAAAAGAAGACATTTATGTGGCCAACAAACCTATGAAAAAAAGCTCATTATCACTGGTCATTAGAGAAATACAAATCAAAACCACAATGGGACACCATCTCATGCCAGTCAGAATGGCGCTCGTTAGTCAAGAAACAACAGATGCTGGAAAGGATGCTGAGAAATAGGAACACTTTTAATTTGGTGGGAGTATAAATGATTCAACCATTGTGGAAGACAGTGTGATGATTCCTCAAAGATCTAGAATCAGAAATGCCATTTGACCCAGCATTCCCATTACTGGGTATATGCCTGCAAAATTATAAATCACTCTACTATAAAGACACATGCACACATAACATTTATTGCAGCACTATTCACAATAGCAACGACTTGGAACCAACCCAAATGCCCATCAATGATAAACTGAATAAAGAAAATGTGGCATATATACACCATAGAATATCATGCAGCCATAAAAAAGGATGAGTTAATGTCCTTTGCAGGGACATCGATGAAGCTGGAAACCATCATTCTCAGCAAACTAACACAGGAACAGAAAACCAAACACTGTGTTCTCACTCATAAATGGGAGTTGAACAATAAGAACACATGGACACAGGGATGGGAACATCACATACCAGGTCCTATCAGGGGTTGGGAGGCTAGGGGAAGGATAGCATTAGGAGAAATACCTAATGTAGGTGATGGGTTGATGGGTGCAGCAAACCACCATGGCACATGTATACCTATGTAACAAACCTGCCCATTCTGCACATGTATCTCAGAACTTAAAGCATTAACTGTGACAAAGAAGGATATTCTTTAATGTTAAAAGTCTCAATTCACTATATACATATTATAATATCTACATACCACAAACACAGCATCTATTTCTATAAAATAAAAACTACAAAAGATGCAGGGAGATGTAGAAGCCTGCTAATGATAAGAGATTTTAACACGCCATGCTCAGTAACACACCATTCTCAGACTAACTGGACCATTAATAAGAAAGGATACAGAAGGCCTAAACAACATAATCAATTTGTAAGCTTATGATCATATACTGAACTTTATTGCCTGAAAATGGAGAATATACAGTCTTCGCAACTGCAAATGAAATATTCACAAAAACTGATCATTTATTAGGCTCCACTTCCCCCAAATATCAATATGTTCCATAAAACAGAATGACTAAAATAGTATTCTCTGATTTTAATGCAACAAAACTAGAAAGTATTAACAAAATTTTTTAAGTTACAAGGCATTTTCATATGGAAACTAAATAATTTCCTATTATACAACTCTTGGAAGAAAAGGCAAGTATAAACAGAACTAAAAAATTGTTTAAAATGATAATGAAAACATTATATATCTGAATTTATGGGCTATTGTTTGAAAATAACCAGAAAAAAATTTATAGCCTTAAACACTTTATTAACAAAATGAAGGAATAAAAATAAATTCCCAGCTCAAGAAGCTGAAAAAAAGAACAATAAAAAGTACCAAAAAAAAAATAATAAAAATAAAAGTAGCAATTAATAATTTAGAGAATAGAAAAAAGTAGTTTTTTTTTTTTTTTTTTGAGACCAAGTTTCGCCCTTGTTGCCAGGCTGAAGCACAATGGCGCGATCTCAGCTCACTGCAACCTCTACCACTTGGGTTCAAACAATTCTCCTGCCTCAGCCTCCCAAGTAGCTGGGATTACAGGCATGCACCAGCACACCCAGATAATTTTGTATTTTTAGTAGAGGTGGAGTTTCACCACAATTGTCAGGCTGGTCTCAAACTCCTGACTTCAGGTGATCTGCCCACCTTGGCCTCCCAAAGTGCTGGGATTACAGGCATGAGCCACCACACCTGGCAAAAAAAAAGTAGTTCTAATTAATAAATTAAAATTCTACCTGCTGAAGAAAAATAACAAATAAACATACCATTAGATATGAAAAAAAGAATTTATAAAGATACAACATCAGAAATAATAAGAGTAAAACAATTGAAAGAGAGGAAATCCTAGTTTCCTAGGATTAGTTTACAGACATCTTTTTTTACTTTTTCCTGAGGCAGAGTCTCACTCTGTTGCCCAAGCTGGAGTGCAGTGGCATGATCTCAGCTCACTGCAACCTCTGCCTCCCGGGTTCAAGTGATCCTCCTGCCTCAGCCTCCCAAGTAGCTGGGATTACAGGCACCTTCCACCACGTCTGGCTAATTTCTCTATTTTTAGTAGAGGTAAGGTCTCACCATGTTGGCCAGACTAGTCTCAAACTCTTGACCTCAGGTGATCTACCCGCTTAAGCCTCCCAAAGTGCTGGGATTACAGGCATGAGCAACTGCACCCATCCCTTTACAGACACCTGTACAAATAAATTTGAAAACCTACAAGCAAGGGACATTTCCAAAATTGATCCCATTCGAGATACAAAGTTTAAAGAGACCAATTTCTATAAAAGAAATGAAGTTATCAAGAAAGCACTCCACAAAAAGCACCATGCTCTGATAATTTTACAGCGCAATCCTACCAAGGATTCAAAGACCAAATAGCCTCAATACTGTATAAGTAGTTCCAGAGCTTTGGAAATGAAGGAAAATGTCTTAATTCTTTTTATGAAACAAGTAAAACAAAGACACATAAACAAAAAGAAAGAAAACTACAACTAATATCACCTTTGAATACTGATGCAAAGCTTTAAATAAAATATTAGCAAACATAAGTCAACAACATGGTTAGAAAACGATACACAAAGAACATGAGAGACAGCCAAGGAATGCAAGGTTGGTTCAATCCATTAATATAATACATCACAGCCATAGCTCTAAGAAGAAAAATCATGATTATCTACATAAATGCCAGGGGGGAAGAAAAGCCTTCAACAAAACTAAGATCCATTCCTGATTAAAGAAAAAAAAAAAGACAAACTCAAGAAAATAGGAATTCATGCATACTTTCTCAGCATGACAAACAAGTAAACATATATAATTTACATTAAAGCCAGAATCTTATTTTTAATAGAGAAACACTAAAGGCATTTGAACTAATATTAGGAATCAGATATTCTCTATAAACTATCGAGCACTGTATTAGAGGTATTTTTGAAGGCAATTTTAAGAGAAATCAATTAGAGGTGTCAGAATTGGAAATGAAGGTGTAGAACCACCTTTAATTGCAAGTGATATGATCATGCACCTGAAAAACCCTAATGAATCAACGATCTTTAGATGGCGAAGAAACAGGTACTTTCAAACATTGCTGCTGGGTATCAAAATTGGCATATTCCTTATGGATGAAGATTCAGTAATATCTAACAAAACTACACGTTTACCTTTTAACTCAGCAATTGTAATTCTAGGAACACCAGATATTAATTCTCTAGTAATATGAATATACATACACACAAAGCTATCATTCACTCTGGCACTATTTATGAAACACTGAAAATAAGCTAAATGTCCATACATAGGAGGGTAGCCAAATAAACTATAGTACATCCACACAATGGTGTATTAAGCAGAATGAGAATGATTTCTTTGATATGGAATGGTTACCAGGACATATTTTAAGTGAAAAATGCAAAACTTAAAGGAGTATGTATCCAAAGTACTCCACTCTTTGTGTAAGAAAGGGGGAAATGAGAAAATATATATATCTATGTCTACATATATGAGCAAGACTAGTTACCTACAGAGTATAGAACAGAATAAAACAGAAAGGCTGAGGAAATAGAAGGGGGGAAATGACACCTTTTTGAATATACCTTTATGTACATCTTGATTTTTGAAACCAGGTCAATGTTTTGCCTAGACAAAATCAACAAGGATTGGAGGAAAACCCTAAAATTGAATACAAACAGAAACAAAGGAATCAAACTATGTTTCAAATGAATAACATAACCACACTCTAACACAGAAGAGGAGAATTAACCTAAGTAATTTCTGAATACAGTATCTGAACTAAAGACAAAAAATTCTAAGCAAGTGCTGAGCTCTAATTAATAAGATTCTTTTTTTCAAAGGTATGGCTTTGCGATTCTTAAACTACTTTTTAAGCATTACAGACAGCATTTAACATGTAAGAAAATACACTGTGAATAAAATGGAAGTCAAGAATTAAACATTTGGAAAGGAGAAATGAATCCTGTGTGGTGTAGAACTGTAACTGAAAGTATAAATAGGGACACATACCCACACACACTCATATATATCCATGCACATATATACACATATACATTCATATATCTACATTCACAAACAAACTCATGTTCACTGTTTTTCATCTAAGCAATCTTAGCCTAAGACTCATATTATTAGACCTGAAAAAATGAAATTTTCCAATTTCTAAATCTAAATTTACAAGATATTGGCTATGCAAGCTATGGTTTAGGAAAGTGTTACCATCTATTAGAAACAAAGCTTTTACACATAATAGCCAGGCTAATATTTGAAGAGAAAAAAAAATGTACTCATATATGTGACCGGATCATGAAAACAGGAAAAATATAATATTAATTCTAGTAAATATTTAAATACGCCCATCTCAGATTATTTTCATGTTAGTAAGAGTAATCACATTGTCTTTTATAAAAGTTGCAAAGATGCAAATGTTACCTGGTATTTCACAATGAAACGTATTAAAAGTCACAGTACCTTACAGTAAAATCATACGAGCAAGAGGCCAGCACAGAAGCATGAAATGGGGAAAACTAAAAAAAAAAAAAAAGAAAAGAAAAGAAACCAAAAAAAAAACCTTTTTGAAGTCAGCTGTAATTATAACATTGCTTTCTATGATCATTCCATAAACATCATAATACATTTAAGTTTAGTCAGAGCTGTCACTTAAAATTACGCTTTTCCAAAACATACATCTTTTAATTTGCAGCAAAAGTCTTCTGGCCTTTTAAGTATCCATCTTCAGGAAAAACATTTTTATATTCTCCAAAGAAAATTATCCCTCAAGTCTTTTAGAACTTATTTAGAATATTCCCAAAGTGTTGCTATTCTAGAAAAATTAAATACAACTTCATATGGACTATCCAAAAATGATTCTTACAAGCCGGATGAAGTGGTTCACGCCTGTAATCCCAGCACTCTGGGAGGCTGAGAAGGGCATATCACCTGAGGTCAGGGATTCGAGACCAGCCTGGCCAACATAGTGAAACCCTGTCTCTAATAAAAATACAAAAATTAACCAGGCATGGTGGTGCACACCTGTAATGCCACCTATTTGGGAAGTTGAGGCAGGTGAATTGCTTGAACCCAGGAGGCGGAGGTTGCAGTGAGCCGAGATCGCGCCACTGCACTCCAGCTTGGGTGACAGAGAGAGACTTCGGCTCAAAAAAAAAAAAAAAAGCAAACAAACAAAAATGATTCTTACAAATATAAGGGAAATATAATAGTACAAATAAATAATGACATTATTTACCAATTTTACAAATATATATTATGATTGCTATAATTAAAGCTATCAAAATAAACATTTAAAATAAAAACAGCTTTAAGACATTTTTGTTATTTGTATATTATAGCTAATGAAAAATTATATAAAGAATAAAAAGCAAATTTAAAGACAAGTAATGTCTTTTAAATAAAAACGTACTTAATAAGTTGACCTTTACAATTACATTTCTTCAGTGTTTGTCTTACCAGCACTTTAAGTTAAATACAGATATATAACTACATTTGACTAGCACTTAAGCACTTTCACTACATTACCTTATTTCATTCTAAGAATCACTCTGAAATATAGAGAATATTTTTAACCTGCTAAAACTTGTCCACATAAAACAAAGTTTTGTTAAATTTGCACAGAGCACTGTGTCTCCTATGTTGCACTGCGGTCAGTGAAACTTAAAATATTAATATAACTAAAAATTTAGAATTGTTGGCCAGGCATGGTGACTCAGCCTATAATCCCAGCACTTTGGGAAGCCAAGGCAGGCAGATCACTTGAGGTCAGAAGTTTGACACCAGCCTGGCCAACACTGTGAAACCCTGTCTCTACTAAAAATACAAAAAAATTAGCCAGGTATGGTGGCATGCACCTATAGTGCCAGCTACTTAGGAGGCTGAGGCAGGAGAATCGCCTGAACCCAGGAGGCAGAGATTGTAGTGAGCCAAGATTGTGCCACTGTACTGCAGCCTGGGTGATACGGTGAGACTCCATCTTAAAAAAAAAAAAAAAAAAAAAGAAAAGGAAAAAAGAATAGAATTTTTAAAATAGTAGGGATAATAATATATAATTATCTTATTTTTTAAAATCAGTAAGGTACTTTTTTTACCTTTAATGTAAAAAACAAAGAATGAAATGGGGAGATATCACTTAACAAAATGCTTTCCACTGTCATTTAGCAGAAATTGCCTAAACAAAAAAGCCAGGAAACTAACCTAAGTCATCTTATACCCAGAGAAATGTATTGGGACCATCATTAAAAATTTACCTCATTCTCTGCTGTTCACAGAGTAAAAAACTTCTATATCCCAAACATTTGTGAATAGTCATGTATGTTATCATGCTGGGAAAAAGAAAGTATTAACCATCTCTTTAGACCTGTTTCTATAAGGTAAAGAGACTCCCACTAATTAGAAACTTACGAAGAACATAATACTAAAAGTGAATTACTTTAGTTAAAAAAAATATTAAAGGAAATAATACATTAGGGGTGAAAGAATGATAAAAAGATTTTTATTTAACCTTAAGTATTGAATGTCTACATTGCCCAAATTCATTCAATAATTATTCAAATATTTTTACCTAATTTTAGCTTTTAATATTAATTGGGTAACAAAAACACATATAAAAAAGAATTAGTAACTTCAATCCCTAAACCCAGAACACTTTTTAATATATGCTTCACTGATTATATAAATTTATTCTACATATAAAATAAAAGATGAAAACTTACTTTCACCCTCCTAACAGCATAGGTATGACCAAGAAGTTCAAACACTGGTTGCCGTACATTCCTTAAGTCCCAGCCTCTCAAACTGCAATCAACTGCCCCTGTCACCAGCAAATTCTAAAAACAGTTTAGAGAAAAATAAACCGTGACATCTTGGCAGAGCAGTATGCAGGCTTTCTACCAGAAACAACATCTACTTTCTGATAATTATTTAATATGAACCCAGGAGTCATTTTTGAGAAGCTGTATAACGAGTATCAATATTAATAGCAAAAAATTAATATGACCTGTGAGGAAAAGAACTCAATATGCTTTAACTACATGATGGAACACTACACACAACTGGAAAAGGCATAGCTCCAAAGAGCATTGTGGATTTTCTAATTCACCTTCAGCAGTGGCAGAAGTACCTAAAGGATTGAAAATTATATCTGACAAATGAACCCAGCTTTCTCTTCAAAAGGTTTTCGCTGGAATCCCAGCACCTTGGGAAGCAAAGGTGGGAAGATCACTTGAGGCCAGGAATTTGAGACCAGAATGGGCAATAAAGCAAGACCCTGTCTACACAAAAAATTAAAAAAATTAGCCAGGCATGGTAGCACACACTTGTAGTTTTAGCTACTTGAGAGGCTGAGTGAGGCAGGAGGATTGTGTGAGCCCAAGAGTTCAAAGCTACAGTGTGCTATGATCGCCCCACTGTACTTCAGCCTGGATAACAGGGCAATATCTTGTCTCTAAAAAAAATAAAATTAAAAATTAGAAATGGTTTTCAAGGCCAGGTGCAGTGGTTCACTCTTATAATCTCAGCACTTTGGGAGGGCGACACTGGTAGATCACTTGAGCCTAGGAGTTTGAGACCAGCCTGGGCAACACAGTGAGACCCCAGCTCTAAAAAACAAACAAACAAAAATTTCAACATAATCTGAGGTTTTTCCAGGCATTAAAAGGCAAGAGGTCTGTTTATTTAGGGACATCTGAAAAAGCATGCGCTACGAATTAAATTTTTCCATGTTCTCTAAATCAAAATTAATCATTGTTTCTAACCCTCTTGGACCAAGTCTTAATATAATATCTAATCATATCCAAAAATGTAATCAAATAGTGGTGAGTCTATCTAGCCCAGCTTTACAAATTCTGCTATCTGGAACCCCAAGTGAACCCAGAGGTCCTGCCTGAACAGGCCAAATGCTGGGTCTACACTCAGTCCACCCCACATAACCCAGAACAGCAATGTATTAAGTTGGTGCAATGTATTTAAGTTATTGCCATTACTATCAATGCAAAAACTGCAATTACTTTTACACCAACCTAACATTGTCTGAATATGTTGGGCTTTAGTGTAAGCTAATTTGAAGAAAAGTTTCAGTGATTAGAAAATAATTTTTATAAACCACGTTCAAATGTCTATCAGCATCTTTCTTTAGAATTCCCAAACATCTGATATATGGGCCATAATTAATTTTCCAATATGAAAATTCATTTATGAGTCTGAATCTGTAGTCATCAGCACTGAAATGTTTAGATTGAGTAACATCATTTCATATGTATTATATTTTCTTTTAACTTATTTAACTTATTTTTATTTAAAGAACTCTGCCAATACACTGCTCTTTTAACTTTAATTAATTTAAAACTGGGAAAAAAGCAAAGTGTACATTTTAGCTATTTGTCACAGTCAACAGACCACTTCAGGGACATAAATACAGTCACGCATCACTTAATGATGGGGATATGCCTTGAGAAATGTGGCATTGGGTAATTTCATCTTTGGGTGAACATCACAGAGTATACTTATACAAACCTAAATGGTATAGCCTACTACAACAGCTAGGCTAGATGGTACAGCCTATTACTCCTAGACTACAAGCCTATACAGCATGTTACTGTACTAAATACTGTAGGCTATTGTTCTGTATCCAAACATAGAAAAGGTACAGTAAAAATATAGTATGGAAGATAAAAATGGTAGTAGGGCCCTTACCATGAATGAAGCTTACAAAACTGGAAATTACTCTGCGTGAGTTAGTAAGTGAGTGGTAAATGAATGTGAAGGCCTAGAACACTACTGTATACTAAATTTATTTTTTGAATTTTCTTTTATTTTTGAGATGGAATCGTGCTCTGTCACCAGGCTGGAGTGCAGTGGCACAATCTCAGCTCACTGTAACCTCTGCCTCCTGGGTTCAAGCGATTCTCCTGCCTCAGCCTCCCAACTAGCTAAGACTACAGGCACGCACCATCAAGCCTAGCTATTTTTTGTATTTTTAGTAGAGATGGGGTTTCACCATATCGGCCAAGATGGTCTTAATCTCTTGATCTCGTGATCCACCCACCTCGGCCTTCCAAAGTGCTGGGATTACAGGCATGAGCCACCCTGCCGGGCCAATTTCCTTTCTTCAATAATAAATTAACCTTAGCTTACTGTAACTTTTTTGCTTTGTTAAACTTTCTAATTTTTTTTAACTTTTTGACTCTTCATAATAACAAAACTTAAAACACAAATACATTATACAGCTCTACAAAAACATTTTCTTTCTTTATATCCTTATAAGCTTTTTTCTATTTTTAAATTGTTTTTAACTTTTTAAACTCATTTGTTAAAAACTAAGATACACACACATTAGTTTAGGACTACACTGAGTCAGGATTATCAGCATCACTGTCTTCTACCTCCACATCTTGTCCTGCTGGAAGGTCTTTGCGGGCATTAGGAATTTTTCAGCTCCATTATAATCTTAGGGGCCCTGTTATATATGCAATCTGTCACTGGCTGAAATGTTGTTATGCAGTGCGTGGCTATAGTACATTAACACATATTTAATCCACTGCTATCTCTTAATTCATATGCTCATGTGGTTAACTGAGGCTTTAAAAAAGTTGCACATGGACACTTATCTTACAGAGGCATGAAAATTGGTTAGGCTTAAAAAGGAAGATGAAACAGAAAAATTTAAAAACTGATGGACTGTCAAATTAAAAATCAAGTTACAAATAGCTCAACAGCCTGACTAGCAAGGTGAAAAAGAAATAAAAGCAAAAGATGATACAAAATTGCAGGGTTAAGAGCAATAAAGAAAAAAAATTACATAAATTGGTAAGGCAGTTTCCCAAAACAAACAAGTAAGGCTGCACTGTTGAACTTTGAGAATTTCTGTTTCTTATTTTGCCTGTTTTATGAGCACTTAAATCCAATTAATGCTAATGCAGGTCAGTCACAATTATTAATTAGAAAGGAAAGGGACAGAATATAACTTAATGGTCCAGGAACACCACCAAAGTCCACGTAAACAAAGATAAATAAAATTTAGAACATTTTAACATTAGGAAGGACAGAAGCTCAGGACAGAGCCATATACTATACCTCATTGTATTTACACCAGTCACAACTCAAGATTTCTGCCTGATGTGCTGGAATCACGATTCTGACTCCTGCTGCTTTCACATCCCATATTCTCAGAGTCTGATCACCTGGTAAAAAAAGAAAGACTTAATCATTTCCCGTCACACCACTTGAATGTGCAGTGACGTATTAATAACGATAAGTCAAGTAAAACTACATGGCTTTCACTGTTAGGATACTGCCACCTTTAGACTTATTTTTTAAACCATAATAATGTATAAGAACTATTCAAATGAAGGAATACAAAAGTAATAGTGCACCGTGATAATGCTTTAAGGAGGAAAACTGAATCTCACAGAGATAAACACAAATAACTAAACACGCACCACACCTGGTACATTTTTCTTTAAGGCAGGAAAGACCCTGAAAATTCTCCCGTTAGGAAATAAGTGATCACTCCGATTCAGTGTATTGTACTAGAAACCAACAACAGAGTAACAGTTTTACTGCTAAAGGCAGGCAAAGTCTACCAAGCCAAAGTGGAGAATTTTTACTTTTCAAGTATACTGTATTTTAGTGGGCAAGCTATAGGTGTATTTTTCTACAAAAAAAAAAGAAAGAAAGAAAGAAAAAAGAAAGCTAAAAACATTTTATTTTATTTTTTGAGACAGAGTCTTGCTCTATTTGTCAGGCTGGAGTACAGCGGCATGATATCGGTTCATTATAACCTCCACCTCCTGGGTTCAAGCAATTCTTGTGTCTCAGCACCTCCCCCAAGTAGGTGGGATTACAGATGCATGCCACCTTGCCCAGCTAATTTTTGTATTTTTAGTAGAGATGGGTTTCAGCTGTGTACAATGGCTCATGCCTGTAATCCTTGCACTTCGGGAGGCCAAGGCGGGCAGATCACCTGAGGTCAGGAGTTTCAACATAATGAAACCCCGCCTCTACTAAAAATACAAAAAATTAGCCAGGTGTGATGGTGGCCACCTGTAATCTCAGCTACTTGGAAGGCTGAGGCAGAAGAATCACTTGAATCTGGGAGGTGGAGGTTGCAGTGAGCCAAGATGGCGCCACTGAACTCCAACCCAGGCAACAAGAGCAAACTTCCATCTCAAAAAAAAAAGAGAGAGAGAGAGAGATAGGATTTCACTATTGTTGGCCAGGCTGGTCTCAAATTCCTGACTTCACGTGATCCTCCCACCTTGGCCTCCCAAAGTGCTGGGATTACGGGTGTGAGCTGCCGCGCCTGGCCAACAAGCTAAAAACATTTAAAGATTACACTTTGCATTATTACAAAAATAGTTTGCATTACTTAACTGTATGGTCACCCCGATTAAATATTTTATATGTTATTTACCTCCAATTTTTCTAAACTATAAGGAAACAAAGGATGGATGACAGGATGAATAAAATACGGAATACATATATCTACCTCAAAAGTAAAATATAAACAACTGATGATAGAAGAAAACCAGTTCCATGTAATGAAACACGTAGTTTCTGGCGTGATAGCAGGTGGGGTCTTGAATCCCATTTTGTGGTTATAGGACCCTGCCTAGGATATGTAATATCTCTAAGACTGATTCCTCATTTCTAAAAGAGACACAGAATGCCTAACATGCAGCGCTGTCTAAGAATTTAATCAAGTCTCTGTAAAGTACCTGGCATGGTCTCTAACACATAGCAGACACTGCCAAATATGGTATATAAAAACGCTAACGTTTTAAAGCATCTTTTACTTACCTCCATATATTTTCCTATAGTTCTAAATCATATATTGTTAAGCTAAATGTAGCTATCCTAGGCAATTTTTTTCCAGCTTCTTTGGAAGTTGCTTAAGAAAGATTAGATATGTGTTGGCAGTCATGAAACACCGAGATTAAGAACAGGGCCTTTGCAGTTCCGGAGCTTGGTTCTAATCCAGCTCAATCGTTCTGTGGTCACTGATGCTTAATCAAGTTACTTTGCTGATCTTCAGTTTCCTACCTACAATAAGACAACTGCCCTGTAAGGCTGAAATGGGACAAGGTAGCAGCGTGAATATGGTGCCAGATAAGCAGTAACCCCTCAGTGTTTCTTTTTTTAAATGAGAAAAAATACCCATGATTAGAAGTTATTTCTTTCCCCTAATAATAACATAAATAATAGCTAATATTTATTAAGTGCTTCCAATGTGCCACATACTATTCTAAGCATTTTATACATATTTTTTCTAAAAAATCACAACTATATAAAGTAGGAATTTAGATATATATATAAAAAGTAATTGTGTAGTACTATACAAACGAGGAAACTGCAGCTAACACCCAGCATAGTAAGCAATAGAAGCACAGGACCTGGAACCAGAACCCAGGCACTCTGGGTCCCCAGCATGTGCACTTCACAAGTTTACAATCACACTACGCTGCTGCCTCCTTGTGTTGCTGGAGAACAAATGCCAAACAGTCAATGCTGGCTGATTCTGGGGGAATTCTTTTAATTCTTTTAATTTCCAGGATGGAGTGCAGTGGTGCGATCTCAGCTCACTGCAACCTCTGCCTCCCAGACTCAAGCAATCTTCCCACCTCAGCCTCCTAAGTAGCTGGGACTACGGGCGCACATCACCATGGCCAGCTAATTTTTCTATTTTTGGTAGAGACGGGGTTTTGCCATATTGGCCAGGCTGGTCTCCAGCTCCTGAGCTCAAGCAATCCACTGACTTCGGCCTCCCATAGTGCTAGGATTACAGGGTGAGCCACTGCGCCCAGCCTTAATGTTACTTTTTCTATAAATTGGAGAAAAATCATTCCTTGCTCTGACCACAGCTGACAGGTCAAAGGCGGGTATTTGGGATTTTTCTGAACTTCAAATGAAAAATAATGTCAGTCCCTCTTCTATGGCAAAATTTACAAAGTATAATAAAATTCAGGACCCACTGGTGACAACATATCTCATTGTGAAAAAGGAATGATGAGATTGAAAGTACCAAAAGGAAATTGTTCAGGATTGGTACAGGTTAGAGTTTCAAATAACTCCAAGGGCCCTCATTAGAATCACTGTCCGTGGTCTAGCCCCCAGTCAGTAAAATTTGTTTCCAGAATGCCAAATAGCTTGGATGAAATGATCTCTCATGATTTTCTCCAGCCTTCAGTGTATAATGCAGGGTGATGTGGATGTCTGTTGTTTGGTCTGCCCAGCAATACCCCTTTTCTGGGAACAGCATGTCCTTTTCTCACCAAGTGATTCTATAAAGACTTATACCTCAACACAATTGACTGGCCAAAGGCAGGTCCAGGCAAGGCCAACTGCAGTACCTCATTCCCCGCTCTGACAGCTGAAAAGGTCAAAGGTAGGTACTTGGGATTTTTCTAAACTGTAACTGAAAAAATACTACCTGTCCTTCTCTTATGGTAGCATTTACAACTTATAAAATTCAGGAGGCTGGGCATGGTGGGTTACACCTGTAATCCCAGAACTTTGAGGGGCTAAGGCAGGAGGACTGCTTGAGTCCAGGAGTTTGAGACCAGCCCGAGCAACATAGTGAGACTCTGTTTCTACAAAATATTTAAAAATTAACTGGGCATGGTGGCACACACCTATAGTCCCAGCTCAAAGGTTGAGGTGGGAGTGTTGCTTGAGGCCAGGAGGTCGAGGCTGCAGTGCGCCATAACTGCAATACTGCACTCCAGCCTGGATGACAGAACAAAACCCTGTCTCAAAAATAGAAAAATATGGCCAGGGGCAGTGGCTCATGCCTATAATCCCAGCACTTTGGGAGGCTAAAGCAGGTGGATCACTTGAGGCCAGGCATTTGAGACCAGCCTGGCCAACATGGCAAAACTCTGTCTCTACTAAAAATACAAAAAAATAAATTAGCCAGGCATGGTGGTACATGCCTGTAATCCCAGCTGCTGAGCAGGCTTGGGTACAAGAATTACTTGAACCCCAGAGGTAGAGGTTGCAGTGAGCTAAGATCACGCCACTGCACTCCAGCCTGGGCAATGGAGACAGATTCTGTCTCAAAAATTTATATATGTATTCATGAACTACTTGGTGGCCACATATCTTACTGTGTGAAGAAAGCCAGTCTACAGTCAGGTGAACAAGTAGGGAAAAGTCCAGATGAGAGACAGAATGTGACTTGGGGGCCTTTCAAGCAGCCGTTCCCTTTCTGGAATATGCTCTTTAACAAATTTTGCAAAGATCTAACATAGTCCCAGTTCTATCACTTGTAGGCAAAGGAAATTACTCATCATAAGGGAGTAAAGGGTATTCTCCTGAGGCTTCAGTCTCCTGAAGCTAGCTCCAAAGAAAACCATTTGATTAAGCACCAGACTTCCATTAAAATAAATAAAATGGCTAAATAATATATACTAGCTATAGCATGTCTCAAGATCAATAAGCTTGGGTTCACCCTAATAATATATGAGTATGTGCATTGATTTAAAGTACCAAAAGAGGTCAGGCATTGTGGCTCACGCCTGTAATCCTAGCACTTTGGGAGGTCAAGGTAGGCAGATCGTTTGAGTTCAGGAGTTCCAGACCCACCTGGGCAACCACATAATCCTGTCTCTACAGAAAATACAAAAATTAGTCAGCCTTAGTAGCATGCACCTGCAGTCCCAGCTACTCAGGAAGCTGAGGTGGGAGGATTGCTTGAGCCTAGAAGGTGGAGGCTGCAGTGAGCTGAGATTGTGCCGCTGCATTCCAGCCTGGGTGACAGAGCCAGACTCTGTCTCAAAAATAAAAATAAAAAAATTTACAAGTACCAAAACATTACAGTGAAAGCAGACTAGGAGATTAAGAACTGTTATTGTAGCAATAATATGAATGAGTCTCACAAGAGATAATGCTGTGAAAGAAACCAGACACAAAGATATGAAAATAGGTAACATGAATCCATGTTATTGGAAGGCCACACAGTGGTCACCTGGGGTGGGAGGTGGTGAGAAGTGACTACAAGGATGGGAGGAGGCCCTCTGGGAATGTTCTGTTTCTTCATCTGGGTGCCAGTTACAAGGATGTGTTCAGTGTAAGAATTTGCCAAATTGTATACTAAGATTATGTACTGTTCAATATGTGTTTATGCTTCAGTAGAAGGTTAAACAACACAACAACAAAGGTTACATCTCTGGCACAACAGTTCTGTTCCATACCACCATTTTCATGCAATATTAAAAAAAAAAAAGAGCCATGGCTTCAGCTGTCCCCTCTTGCAGTTAATTTAACAGGCACAAAAATATGAAGACTGCTGGGCAGGAGCTGAGAATTCCACTTCCTTGACGGCAACTCCTGATGTAACCATTTGGCACTCTGTCCTCGCCATTTTGTTTTCCAGGTAGGAAAGAGGTCTTTTGACCAAATGGTACAATGACTCATTCAACTCTTTTAGCTGCCAGGACATCTGCATTTACGTTGTTTTTTAAATTGAATTTTCTAGACAATTGGCCTTTCATTGACAGGCAGACATTTATCTATGGCCCGTGATGATGCCATAGACTCACCTGAATTGCCAGATTCTCTTATCAATTGCAGACCTGCCACTGACAGAACCAGTGACTTTTTTTTTTTTTTCCAACTGAGACAGAGACTCTGTTGCCCAGACTGGAGTACGGTGGTGCAATCTCGGCTCACTGCAACCTCTGCCTCCCAGGTTCAAAGGATTCTCTAGCCTCAGCCTCCCAGTAGCTGGGATTACAGGTGCCCACTACCACGCCCAGCTAATGTTTCTGAGTTTTTAGTAGAGACTGGGTTTCACCCTGTTGGTCAGGCTAGTCTCGAACTCCAAATCTCAAGTGATCTGCCCACCTTGGCCTCCCAAAGTGCTGGGATTACAGGCATGAGCCACTGTGCCCAGTCAGAACCAGTGAATTTAAATGTACAATATGGATGAGGACCTGGCTGTTACCATGTCTAATTTCAAACTGCAGCAAGTAAGAAGTTCCATAAGGAGAATGAGTGTAAACATAGAACCTAAAACTGGGAAGTGAACTGAGTAGCAAAAGGGTACTCTGGGGCCAATGTAATATTACTTAACCAAAATGCTCTGTGCCTCTCAGATGTAATATAACTTTTTCTTACAATAGAATGAGGTATGCTTTAACGACTGAATCCCACACATTCAGGCATGATTATGACTTATGCAATTAGATGGAGTCTGTGACAACAATAATTTAGTTTTAAATGATTCCAAAGATAATTTACTTCATATTAGTCCTCTTCATAAAAAGAGCTCAAATATTCTTCCCTATTTCATATAATTTAGAAATATGAATTCTGTACTGACACAACTACCACGAATTAGGCAAAATGTAGTGTCTTTAGGGAACTCTGCTATGGAAGGTAAATCTAAATGTATTAATAGTTCTCTAAAACTTCCCCCATTTTGGCCTGTCTTAATTTAGCTAATGATAACAAATTTGATTCTAGATTTGCAAAACTATACAACCTTGAAGATGACTAAATTCTTGGAGTAAACTAAATGCTACGTTCTCATATCTTAAATTAAAACATAAATTGTTGTAATCAGTTGAAAGATATACTTAACTGGATGTGTGCAAGAGGATTAGACATAATCCTATAGCATAATCCTTGACTGCCTATTGCATAAGCTTCCACCATGAAAAACAAATATTTTACAACTATGGGTTCCATACCACAAATTTTGCAGTTGAGATTACTTTATGCAAAGATTGTGTTATAACTTATGTACTTGTCTGTAAGCAAGAAGATAAAGCAAGAGAATTAATAAAGATAAACTCACAAAACTGAGAAAAAACTAAGCAGTTCTCAAACTAAAGAACCCGATTCTCTGAATTCAGCACTGAAACCATTCTGTAGGTTTCTTGGAAAAAAAAAAAAAGAGTTGAGTATATCCCTTCAAAAACAGACATGCAATTCCCATTACCTCAAATAGAACTAAGCTGTCAAGTTGGCATCTCAAACAGAGCTCTTCCATAGACTAGTACAGTGCTTCCCAAATTGAGCTGCTCACTAGATTCAGCTGGGATTTAAAAATATACCTCAGAGAGGTATTCTGTCTTTTTATTCAGCAAGACTAAGATGAAGCCCAGAATTCTGCTGCTGTTTTTTTAAGCTCACGCAATGGTTCTGATGATTAGCTAGATTTTAGAATCACTGGACTAGTATATTACTAGTCCATGCATTCCAGAGTCTGCCTAAAGCAAGTTACTCTAGAGCTCTGTTCTAAGAGTTTTAGTTCTCAGATAAGCACTAACTGTCCATTGTTATAGCACATATATACTGCAAAGGCCATTCTGATGGTCTTCAAATACGCTCTGTTCTCTCCACATTCCAACTTTTGCCTCCTGCTTCTCATTTCCTAACTCTTACTTATTCATAAGTAACCTGACAAGCTCAGGAATCCATTTATACATTTCCACAGAATTCTGGGCACACGTGTTAATAATAGGTAACGCTTAAGGCCGGGTGCAGTGGCTCATACCTGTAATCCCAGCACTTTGGGAGGCTGAGGCAGGAAGACTGCTTGAGCCCAGGAGTTCCAGACCAGCCTGGGCAACACAGTGAAACCCTGTCTCTACCAAAACTACAAAAATTAGCTGGGCATGGTGATGCATGCCTGTGGTCTCAGCTAGTACGCTGAGGTGGGAGGATTGTTTGAGCGTGGGAAGCAGAGATTTCAGTGAGCTGAGATGGCACCACTGCACTCTAACCCGGGCAACAGAGCCAGACCCTGTCTCAAAAAAAAAAAAGGTAATACAGAGCGTTGACTCTACCAGTCACTGTTCTAACTAAGCCCTTTATGTACATTAGCCACTTACTCCTCCTCAAAACTTCCTGATGTAGATACCATTACCACCCTGATTTTAGAAATGAGGAATGAGGAGACAGAGGTTAAGCAGCATGACCAAAGAATGTCTCATAACAGCAGGAAAGTTTTTGTCTTAGCATTCCTCTTTCCTACTGGACTACATGCTCTAGGAGGGCAGGAACTCCATCTGTTTTCCTCACTGAATCTCCAGTGCCCAGTAAATGATGGACATTCAATAAATATCGGACTGACTCACTGGCAATGTCCTTCTCAACAATCAAAATGAACTCAGATATGTTTTAATAATTCAAATAAGATGATTACTCCCGTATCAAATGTAATAACAATCAAAAATATTTTAGTGTTTGGCTCTGTAAGGCATTCGGCCATGTGAAAGAATACACAAGTGTTACAGGAAATGTATGAAAACAAGGGAAGCAAAGATGATGGAAGCACTACATTTGCTTACAAACGCATGGCACAGAGCTCAGTAAATAAATGCTCTTGTGTTTGAAATGGCTAAGGCACAGTGAGAATTCTGAAGCTTGCCTTGGCTTTTAACTATACCAAAACTCCTTCCAAAACTTTTGCAAAGTGGAAGAAGAACTTTGAATCTTTTAAAAAGTACTAAGTAGACTAATATTTGTAAATTATCACAAAGGATTATTTCAGGAAAATAGCAAATGTTAGATAAATCAATCTTTGAATGAGTTCCCCAAGTCATAAAAATTGGCAGAAAACAGCTTTACAGTATCAATTTTCCAAGGAAAGCTTTTAAAGAATATATTTTGGAGCTTACAGGTCCAGTACCTGATTTTTATCAAATCCCCTCTGATTCATCTGAAGGCTTAGATGTGCAGCCAATTCAGTGAACACTGGCCCCTTAGGTGCTCTGATTTACTGCAATAGCTTTAGTTACCAGTTATAAGCCAATGATACAATTTTTACTCACAAGGCCAGACTTCTCAGTTCCAAACTCAACCTGCTCATTGACAAACAGATGCGCATCTCAGAGGTTCTGTAACAGTGTTCTAACACAAAACTCAAAATCTTCTTTTTCAAACATAGATCATAACTCAGTTATAACATTATCATCCACGAATTTGTCCTTGCCAGAAACGGAGGAATTATTCTTTAGGAGATGGAATCATCAAAAAGTAACCTGAACCTCAGCTAATTCTTGTCAAGAGGTTGACAAAGGAGGAAAGTCTTAAGAGGACAAAAGAATAGTTTAAGACGCCTGTTTTCTCTCTGAATCTAAGGTACACAGCGCCACCTAATGGGAAAAACAAGGCCACCTATTCACTACAAGTAAGGCTTTTGGCAAATATAGAATTAATTACCTGAGGCTGAAGCAAAACAACCAGGGATGTGGGGAGACCAGATTGTGCTATAAATGACATTTTCATGGCCTCTAAAGGTGCACAGAGACTTTCCAACAGTTGGATCCCACTACAAATAAATGAATAGATCAATTACTCAAGAGGGATAAATTCAAATTTATGCTTTTACACATAGTATTTACATCCATAAACGATATACATTTATATACACATGTAAATATACATGCAGATATCAAGGATTTTTAAAGCTCTATTTTGATATAAAACAAGATGGTATTTAAGGGCCAAACTAATGCTGAGCTAACTATTAGTTTGCAGCCAAAAGATTACAAAATGTTAAGTTCTAATAAATGTTTTAATTTTTTAAAGAAAATCAGCTGTGCAATCACAAAGCTACAGAAGTATGTTTGGAAAAGAAAGAAAGATTCAGTGGAAGCTCTAGAGAAGGGAATATTTGTTTTTGAATATAATAATGCTAACATACCAATTTGACAGTTCGATCCCATGAGCCAGACACCACAAGCTGCTCACCTCTGGTTTGGCTCCAATCAACACTATACACCTAAAAACATTTGAAAGTATTTAGAAAGCAAAAGAGCATCAAGTTCAACACTGCATTTTATCTCTTGTTATATGACAGTGACAGGCAGAACAACTAATTTACAATGTCAAAACATCAAATAATTCCTGTCCATCTCAACACGGTGTCTGAGAAATGAAAGGTTGATCTCGTCCATTCCTCCAGACTTATTCCTTACAGATAAGACTCCACTTGCTTTAACAGAATTCTACAGAATACTTCCAAACCTTCTTCACTAAAACAAATTATACATATTTTAAAACCTACCAACAAATCACTGTTTGCAGCTCCACGAAGAAATGTCAAAGGAGATTAGAAAGTTAGTCATCTAAAAAAGCTTGCTGGGTCAATGTTTATCGGAAAGCATTAAAATTCAATTAATATCCCTATCTGGCCTTTCTTAGAAAAAACTTGCAAGAACCAGGTGGTCCTTCCAGATCTCTTGGTAAACAGTTTTAGTTATCCAATGCTCCATTCTAAGGTAGGCTTCACTCCTCTCAAGGAACCATTTCAAATGAACCATTTGAAAACTTTTGGAAATGTTTTCATTCTTGCCTTTTATAGAACAGATTACACACATATCACTCTGTAAACTAAGTTCAACAAAATATGTGAATAATTATACTTTCTGAAACTAGTCCTGACAAGGACCTGAGTATATGCCCTTCATATGAGCAGTCAGCAGGTAACTTTGAATCTTATTACTCTCCCCAACATATATGTAGGAAGTATGAGTATCTGGGCTTAAGTCACTTAAGTTTAGGTTACTTGCTCTCTGCTGCCCACTGCTATGTCAAGACATGTTGGAGGCTGAGGAAAAAAAACATCAGCAATACTGATCCTGTCTTTATTTAAACTGTTGATGCTTTGTCACTGGTAGGCAGAATCTTTAAAAGTCAAACTTAAGAGAAACATACTGTAGAAGAGTGTTTGCCAGGGGTTGGGGGTGGGGGAAATGAGGCTACAGTTGTATCAAAGGATACAAACTTTTAGTTATAAGATGAATACTTTCTAAAGATTCAATGTACAGCATGGTAACCGTAATAAACAATAATGTATTACTTAATACTTGAAATTGTATACTTGAAATTTGCTGAGAGTAGACCTTAAATGTTCTTACCTCACACACAAAAAATGGTAACTATTCAAGTGATGGATATGTTAATTAGCTTGATTGTAGGAATCATTACTCAAGATACACTTAGATCAAAACACTAAGCTGTACAACTTAGTTTCGTTTGATTTATTTATTTTTTTGTGTCCTGAAACAGGGTATTGCTCTGTTGCCCAGGCTGGAGTGCAGAGACACAATCTCAGATCACTGCAGCCATGACGTCCTGGGCTCAAGCGGTCCTCCCACCTCAGCCTCTTAAGTAGCTGGAGTCACACTTTCGTACCGCCACACCCAGTTAATTTTTTTTTTTTTTTTTTTGTAGAGACAGTGTCTCACCATATTACCCAGGCTGGTCCCAAACTCCTAGGCTCAAGCAGTCCTACCACCTCAGCCTCCCAAAGTGCTAGGATTACAGGCATGAGCCACCATGCCCAGCTTACAAATTTTTATTTGCCAATCACAATAAACCTGGAAAAAAGTTTAATAAAATTATATTAAGCTTCAAAAAAAGACAAAATAAATAAAATATTAGTATTTTGTTCATCATAAGTTTTGGCATTAAGTTTTATTTCTAAAAACATTATATTAACAAATTACATTGCTTATCTAGTTTTTTGTGCCCCCCTTAAATTGTGAGTGCCTCATACACCCTACCCTAGTCCTGGCCCTGCTGCTGCCCATATTCATGCAAAAGACAGAGGAATAGTTGGAACACTAAAGGAAGCACAATCCAGCAACAGACAGCAGCTATGAAGGGAATAGAAGGGGCAGTGAAAACCAAAGAGCTGCCCTGGCCATCTGTTAGTTACGGATAGAAAAAAGACTGGTTTGGAAGCAATCACTGAAGATCTTGAGAGCTAAAGAGTTTGATTTTATCCTCTAAATTTCTCCTATAAAGGACCATATAGTAAATGGTAACTTTCTTCAAAAAAGGTACATTTCTTCTATAAAGGGCCATATGGTAAATATTTTAGACTTTCCAGGTTATTTGGTCACGGTCACAACTACCAAACCCAGATCTTATAGCACAACAAGCAGCCATAATCAATACTGAATGAATGGGCATGGCTTGGTTCCAATAAAACTTTATTTGTAAATCATATTGCAAGCCAGATTTGGCCCTGGCCCACATGTTGTAGTTTGCCAATCTCTGTGCTAGGCTGATGTAAAGACTCAAAAATAAAAACAGCAAACCTTTATTGAACACTCTGAGTGCCAGATGCTGCTGCTAAGGACTTTATGTATTTTATTTCATTTAATCTTGATTTATATGAAGTAGATACTATGTCAAGGCCCAGAAAGGTTAAATAACTTGTCCAGAGCCCCAAAGCTAGTAAGGGGCAGAGATGAAATCTGAACCTGGGCAGCCTAATTGCAGGGCCCACCCTTAATTGTTATGCTAGGCTATCTGTACAGCATGCTACTTGAGGGCACTGTTGAATCAGAACTTCTTGGCTACATTAAGCCATGATATCAAGGAAATAAAGCTCTACCCCTGCTGGTAACACCCTTTACTGGAGCTTCATTTTTCCAGATTGATTCCATTGTGTTTTCATGAATTACCCATACGCAAGATATTAAAGCCCCTATCCACTTGTGAATTTCCATTTATCCATCAAGATGTGGCCCCGTTACATCCCTTATGAAATGAGCCTCCCTATAAGCCCTTCGGTGAGTCATATGCTGCCTTCTACGTACTCCAGCAGCAGCTCACACCTACTTCTAAATCAGCATTTGCCATATTGTATTTACTAAAAAGAACGTTAAACAACTGTCATATCCGCTAGATTCTGGAGACTCCTAATGAGCAAACATCTTATACACCTATATTCATCACAGTACAATAGGCACTCAAATGCTGGTTAAAATAATTTAACCAATTAAGCTTTCTTTACACCCTCAATCATCACTAGGTAGGTACAGAGAACTACTAACTAAATACTAGCATCATCAGCTCAGACTCCACTGCCTCCACACACTTCCAGTGTGATGCAGCAGGTGAAACCTATGACTCCTCACCTTTTAAAACTGCAGGGGCCTCCATGGAAAGAGAATCCAGCTTGAATCAACACCAAAGACAGGAAGTAAGAAAACCATGCTGATGGCACTGCTGCTGCCAGCTGTTTTCTGTTTCACAACCAAGTGGCAAGCATTAGGTCTCTATACAGAGCTAACAGTAGGACATACATGGTGGTGAAGTTAAAAATGGGATAATAAAGAAGAAAATAGGCTGAGTGTGGTGGCTCACACCTGTAATCCCAGCACTTTGGGAGGCCGAGGCAGCTGGATCACTTAAGTCCAGGAGTTCAAGAACAGCCTGGCCAACATGGTGAAACCCCATCTCTACTAAAAGTATAAAACTTAGCAAGGCATGATGGTGTGTGCCTGTAGTCTCAATTACTTGAGAGGCTGAGACAGGAGAATCGCTCCTGGAAGGGAGAGGTTGTAGTGAGCTGAGATCATGCCACTGTACTCCAGGCTGGGTGACAGAGTAAGACCCTGTCTCAAAAAAAAAAAAAAAAGGAAAAGAAAAGGAAATAAAGGCAACTCAACTGATAAATACTTTATGTGTTTTACTATGTTTATAATATTAGGATATAGGAAAGGAATTAACAGATCAGGAGACTGTGTGGGTTTTTTTTTTTTTAATTAGAAAAAGAATAACTACACTAGGCATGGTAACTCATGCCTGTAATCCCAGCGATTTGGGAGGCCGAGACGAGAGGACTACTTGAGGCCACAAGTTCAAGACCAGCTTGGGCAATGTGGTGAGACCCCAACTATATATAAAATTTAAAAATCAGCCAGGTATGGTGACAGGTAACAGCTACTCAGGAGGCTGGGATGGAAGGACAACTTGAGCCCACAAGGTCAAGGTCAAGACAACAGTGAGCCATGATCATGCCACTGCACTCAATCCAGCCTGGGTAACAGAGAGAGACCCTGTCTCAAAAACAAAACAAAACAAAACAAAACAAATTATAGACATAAGCACAAAAGGATACTTGGATGGAAGATACAACTTGGTGCTCAGAAGAGGAGGATTGAAGCGGGGCGCTGAGGGCTGGCTAAACTGTCAATAGGCAAAAAAGCAGAGGTGAAATAGTAACCAGAAAACTTCCCCAAAGACATACAGCACCCTAGGGGTCAGGGGTAGTAAACACTGCAAGATAACACCAAAGTTTCATGGCTGAGGACTGTCAGTGATGGCGGCATTAATAAAAGTGAAAGAAAGACTGAAGGGAGGAAAATAATGTAATTTTATATATACTGTGTCTGAGGTGACAGTAAAACAGGGTTTAGGCATTAACCTCAAGCTCTGAAAAAAGTTCACAGCCAGAGAGATGTTTGGGAGACAGTCGAAAAGGGAAGAATGCATTCCATGATCCCAACCTCAACCAATTCAACAGATATTTATTAGGCACCTACTGGGTACTAGACAGGAGGAGAAAGGGGGCTAAAAATTGAGATAAGACCAGCCCCCATATTTTATTTTAGCAGCAGTAAACATGCTATAAATGTATAATTTAAAGTTGCAATAAAAAAAAAACTACAAAGAAGAAGCAGAGTAGGGAAAATAGAAAATAATGACAAGGGCAGGGGGTCACTTCTCAACACAATGGTCAGAAAGACCTCTCTGCGCAGAGACTTAAGTGCAGTTAAACACTGAACTCTGCAGATATGAGATGAAAGGCTCAGGTGACAGAGAACAGGGAAAGACCTTGAAGCAGGGAACAAGCTTACCAAATCTGGGAACAGCAAGGCTGAAGAGTTGGGAGGGATAAGATCCTAAAGGGAATTTGTATGTGATTTCTCTTAAGAGGTAACAGCCATCAACCATAAGTTACCACTTAGATTAGCATCCTTC